TTCAGAACCTGCCCTACTACAGTATTAGGCAGAATGAAGCCACTGTCTTAGCTAACAAATGTTGCTGTTGTCTCCTGTGGCCCTACCATAATTTCCTTCTCCTGTTGTAGGGAGCCACATCTGCTGTACAACCTGTCCTGCAGTCCTTAAACTTGCCTGCTCCTCTGAGCTGTGGTAGAGGACACTATCCCACCACCACTGTTGAAGGAAGTTTCAACCTGCTTTTGAACCTGGAATGGAGAAACCAGTCTGGATTTTGTATTTGGAACACTGGGTCTTTTTTGTTATTATTACAGCTGGGGATTCTGGGGACTGTAGTCCAAAAAGTAGCATCCCCACTACTGGCTCTCCTCATGCTTGCCTTATTTTGTCTGGGGCATCATAATGACTTGGGCCAACGTCTTCCTCATAACCTCACAGAGGTGGCTGCAGCAAGCATGCATGGTTGGGCAATGCATTCTGTGCCTGCCCAGAGGTACTTTTCATGACCACCCCTGAGGATATCAAAGCAGGTTCGAGGCTCAGTTGGTTTGAGTTCTGGCTAAAGGGGAGGCGAGCCAGAACGAAGCCAGCGGAGCGAAACTGTCAAATTAGGGTGCACGTTGGAGAGCGAGTGGGCTTCGTGGAAGGGTTAAGGATCCGCCTTAACCAGAGTAGTGGGAGAAATGGGGGAGGCCGCAGCTGCCTTCGGTGCCAAGTGCGCTTTGGCAACGTCGCCCCCTTTTTTTCATGGCCTCTGCAGCAGCTCTTGGAAATCCCTCTTGGTGAGGAAGGGGGGCTGCTGAATCCGCGGCTCCTCCTATGTAAGCATGTCTCTCATCAAAACCTTTATGGATAATTGCATTCACAAAAGGGGAGCCTGCAAGCACAATAAAACAGAAAACATTGCCATGCTGTAGATAAAGGTCTGCCATCTATTCAGAGAATATACTGTCCTGAAAGTTTTACTGTGAAATACAGCAATTCTTACATAATTTAACCTCCTGAAGCAACAGGGCTGCATCCAATCCCCCCTTCCATTTCACTTTTGAGCAACATGGCAAGAGTATTGCATTTCTTATTTTTAAGCTGAATTATGCTCCTCTGTCAGCCTTTTAAAAGCTTCTGGTATTCCTTGCTTTCAAGTGAAAACTGCAGGATGCTTGTGCTGCAGCACTAAACTGGCAATGGCAGTAGGAGCTGCAAAAACTGGTGGCGGGATCACATGCAGCCTGTGGGCCATAAGATCCCCATCAGTCATGCGGCAAGTTCTTCCCTGATGTCTCTTAGCACCTTTCCGAAATACTGGCCATTCATGTTTCATGCTTCTCATCCTTCTTTTTAAGACAATTCCTAGTTAGGTAGTTATGGCTGAATACAGTTCTTTGGACAGTAACCTGTTTGTTCTGAACTGCACATGGAATGATTTATTCTGCATCCAATTCCTTTTCTCCTTGTTTAACAGGGAAGTGGAGAGCCCCACTGCTGTGAATTGAATAATTCTGGGCTCAGGCAATTGTGAGCCACAGATAGAGCAGAGTGAATGTGGAAGTTATAATTCACATATGGCAACAGAACACTGCCTTTTATATTTTTATTATAACATCTATAACAGAAGGTCTTTAAACATCTTAACCATGGCCTACTGTTTAAGAACTCATGGACAATTGTTTCCTTTCAGGCAACCTTGGTATAAACATGAAAACTCTTTTAACCAGCTACTGTAAACGTATTCTAATTATTAGATGGAACTGAACTTAAAATCTGAGAGTTAGATGTTCAGGTAATATTAAAATAGCAGTAACTGAGATGAAAGAAAAAATGTGGAATACCATGGAACAACATCCTTTCATTAGCATGA